TTAATTTAATTTCGTTTTAAATCGTTTCTTATTAAAATGTGATATAAAATTTCGTGAAAATTTTCTTCGAATTGATCTCACATTCTATCTTCCTTTTTTTTGTGCGCAATATTGTTCAAAGCTCGACTAGTATCGTTCTACGGAGTTTCTGAAAACCAGGCGAATTAAAGCTTTCCCATGCGTATTGCATTCGAAGGACGTAGGAGAGTTTTACTTTATATCGGCACAATCAGAGCTCGTAAAACGTGATGGTAGTGGTAGTGGTGTTGGTACTCATGTTATATAGAATATCCTTGTTATTCCTATGGTATACTAAAATCGCCCATAGTGCTTCCTACGAGATTCTTTTTTTTCTTTTTATTCTGATCAAATTTCGAACTAATTGCTATTCCCGTTTGAGAGTTTCTTTATTTTATATCTGAACCAAAAATAAAAAAAATATATTAGACAAATTAGATTAGACAAGTGGATCGATAAGTAATCATTGTAAACGAAATCAAACGAAATTTCGTTTTATTTCAAAAGGAATATATTATTATTGTCATCGTGTTTCGTTAAAAGTTATTATATATTTCGTTATTTTCAAAATTACTGTAATAATTAATTTATTAATCAGCGTTTGCATATATATATGTACATGTACAGAAATGATATTAAAATCTTCAATTAATATTGAAAACTTTCGTACGAATTTTATCAGATGATTTTATATATAATTTTTAAAATTAAAATCAATTTGTAACTCCGTCTAGTTAGTATCTAGATACCTAGATAATACCTAGCTAGTCCCAAGCCTAGATAAAGGAGCTGGGTAGCAACCTACGTTCGGTAAAAGAAAAAATAATATGCTCCCAGAATTAACAATCAAATTAATCAAATTAATTAATTTGTATGAACTAGTTTAACTCTTGATAATTATTAATATTACTCTCTATTATTATACTCGTGTCTAAAAAGGATATTATTAATTTTAAAAAACAAAGTAGCAGAAAGAGAAAGACAGCGTATTTGTAAGAAAAATTTCAAACATCGCGAAAATAGGGAAGTACCAAATAGTTCATTTCTTTTTTTGCAACCTTAATAAATTGAAGTCGAAAGGTGAAGTGAAGAGAATCCTGGGTCCGTGCAAACGCTATGGAAGTAGTCAGTCGAGTTAGGAGAGCGAGAAACGAGGCTGGTGGTAATGGTGTAGTGGTGACGACAAGGGGGTGGAGGGTTGGCAGGAAGAGGATGAGAAATAGACAGAAAGAGAGAGAGAGAGAGAGAGAGACAGAGATAGAAAGAGTGAAACGAGACGAACAGAAAAATAGCGAATACAAAGCAAATTGGCGCCGGTATACATATGTATATATTTATGCATGTATGTATGTATGAAGGTACGTTATGTATGCATGTACATACCGTGTGTCAGAGCGTAGCCAAATGGAGAAATTTCCGGGTAAAATCGAGAAACGTTTCAAGTAAAACGTGTCCGGACGAGTGGGGTTCGCGAGGTGGGGGAGAAGGATGGTGGGTGAAAGACAGAAAGAGAAAAGGGGTAAAGAACGGTGGTGGAAAGAAGGGTGAAATAAGAGTAGGAGGAGAAGGAGGTTTAAGGGGGGGGGGTGGTTGAAAATGCGAGCGCGTCAAGTAACCGGATATCTCTCAAAATGCTATTCGATTTTACTGTCATCTCGCTTGATAGCGACGATACGTTTCGTAATCGACGCCATCGATTTCGTAAGAGTAAAAAAAAAAGTACGATGATGGAAGAAGGTAAAGAGAATGGGAGAAAAAAAATAGAAAAGTCAAATGATATGACGGGGTGGAGGGGGGTGTGGGAGACGGAGGAGATATAAACTTGAGAAATAAAGAAGATTGAAGGAAAATGTAAATTATGGTCAATGTTTTTTGCGAATAAAATAACATTTATTATAAAAGACGTATATGTGGAGATAAATATTGGAATATTGAAAATGGGTAATATTTTTTCTATCGATAAGAATTGTGAGAAAAAATATTAAACAATTTTATTTATTATTGAAACAGAAAGAAGAGAGAAAAACAAGAAACAAATGAAACTTTAAAATAAAAAGCAAGAAAGGATGGATATTCAATATTTTCTCTTTTCTTTTATTATTATTATTATTATTATCAGAATTTTATTGTAACGAGAAATGGTTGTATCGAAAAGGTACACAGAAAGGAATAAGGGAGTGATAAAGATAAATGTACGAATTTAGGAAATTGTGCGAGAAACTTAAAATAAAAAATATCGAGAAAGAAAAAACATACAAAAGAAGAAGAAAGAGAAAAAGAGAGAAAAAGGGAGATAGAAGAAAAAAAAAGAGAAGAAAAAGAAGAAAAATGTATGTAAATGGAATTAGATAAATTAGATACTTCAGCGAACGCAAGAACTTATTTCTACGATACATCACGAATCGATCTGTTTCATTCGCTTCACTTCACTGCATAAAAAGCATCGGTAAGGTATGCTAGTTTTCTTGATGGCCCCTCGTATTTTCTCATTCTGTCTTTTTCCTTCTATTTGTATTCTTTTTCTTTTTGTTTTTTTCTGCAGCGAATGATGGGAGGAGGGGGGGGGGTAGGGCAGACGGTGTAGTTTATTTGAACGTCGCGGAATACTCGATCGCGCGAAATGGACCGTGCAACGAGCCGAACGGAAGAAATAACGAAAAAAAATATAAAAAAATGGAAAAAAATAACAAAAAAATAAATAAAGTACGGAAAGAGAGAGAGGAAGAAAGTAAAATAAAAGAAAAAAGAAATCGTCTGGCTGCGGTTGTTTGCGACGACGACGACGACGACGACGACGACTCAAACGATTACTAGGAAGCTACGCGACAAAGTAATTTAAAGGTCGCGAAGGGGTGATCCCGTTGAAAGTGAAAAACTTTTCTCGTTATCTATCCATCGAGAAACATTCATCTGTCTAATGAGACATTATTATTGTTGAAAGAAAAACTTAATCAAATGGAAGAAACGCGAAAACACTGTTCAATTACCAAATAGAATAATCTCCGATCAAAATGATTAAATTGATTTCCTTTTTTTATAAAAACAAAAATAATTCAATTCTTTTAGCTAATTATATTAATCTAAAGCTGTTAATACATTTTATTTATAAGTTAATCATTAAAAGAAAAGTTAGATAAAGAGTTAAAATGTTTTTACAGACAAACCAAAAAATCATAAAAATATGAAAAGAAAGATTTATCGGCAGAAGTGTATAAAGGGTTGTCTATCTCAAGGCGTCTAAAAAAATAGCTTACCTTCAATCGTACGTACAATAAACAATTACAGAAAGTTTCAATAAATCACGAAAGAAATGTGACTTTATCGACAACGATACTATCGACTATGTATCACTCGAAAAAACCCATCATAAATACTTCGTTATAGACTTCCTTGTCTTCCTATCATTCTCATATTTCAAAATTCTTCCAAACAACAACAATATCCTATCACCGTTGTTTTCGAAAACGATAAAAACGGGTTTCGTCGCATCGTTTTAAAGATGCCATATCATCACGATACACCATTTTACAGATAGAAAAATACGTGCATACCAACGAGCATATATATATATATACCCACCATAGATATATACTCGCATCAATATAGAATGTAAAAGTATCAGGAGTCAGAGTTCGAGCGTTTTTTTTCTTTTTTTTTTTTTTGTCGATTTTTAGAAAGAGATCTACTAGCCGACGAGCTATCGTTCGCGTGTTATCATCGGTGAACCGCCACGGCCGATCGGTTTTGCTCGATTTGAATTTATTTTCCGCGTCTAGTGCGAAAGGTTGGTTTATTCCACCTCTCTCTCTTTCTCTCTTTTTCACCCTATATAAGCCCTTTCTTCTCTCACCTTTCTATTTCTATATCCTATCTCATTCTCTACAGGAAGAAATCGTCTGGGTTTGATGTTACTTCCGTCGCAATGCAGCGATCGACTATAAAATCATCGAACGATCGTTTACTACACGTTGTCGTTGTCGTTGTCGTCGTCGTCGTCGTTGTTGTTGTCGATACGAATATCTATTAGACGTAATTGATGCGAGGTTACAACATCCGACCCTTTGTGGTAGTGTTAGTGGTTATTACGTTAGTATTAGTAAACAGGTACTAGTAATCTACGTATACACGTATATAATTCTAGTATATATAGATATACGAAGGTTTTGCTAATACAACTACTACGAATGAGATCGCAAAACATGCTGGTAAACGTCAAAACGACTCACGACCATCTGACCGATATCGTTTATGCGAAAACGTTTACGCGAAACGATCGTTCGTAGCGATATCGTTCGGCTTGCTATCGTCACCGCTATCGCTCATATTTCATTCGGAATTTAACGCGACGAGAGACAGAGACATGCCAGACGGATATCTGTGGTAGAATAAAAGAGAAATGAGAGAGAGAGAAAGGAGAGGGGGGGAGGAAGAGTTAAACGTTCTAGGTTGTAAATCGTAATTCCTGACGAATGCGTTTTAAACCGAAATATCGTGCTTGACGCGTATGCGTACGAATTGCCACGAATTTGTCTTCATACTAATTTCAAATCTTGATAACATTTATTTTGTCGTTATTTATGGAGATGTTTTGAGCTATGTTATGTATATTATTTTATTATTGTTTTATGATAATTTGTTGTTATAATTTGTTATCGCGACAAACACTCTAACTGTGATAGAAGACAAATCATAAATACTAATATATGATAATTATTAACTTGCAATTATATTCGATTTATCAATAAATTCATGCGATTATTATCGCTTCTTTGCTTTAAAAAAAAACCTCAGGGATTAATTGGCTCGGCCCATATTAAGTGTTATAATATAAGTAACATATAATACATCCAACATTTACCTACCATATCGCGTGGTGTCTTTAATTACAAAAAAAAAAAAAATAAAAATAAAAAAAAAATTAATATCAATTTATATGTAGAACATTAATATAAAATGAAAAAGTAATTACAAAAATATGTTACCTGAAGTATTCCACGAATTTGTCCACTTTTGGTCTCGACGATTCTCGAAGCGTAACGCGTGACAGCGTTCGCACGATTCCTCACGTTGCTTGACGAGAAAATAAAAATTAAGAAAAGAAAGAACAGAAATTTGGGCGTTAGTCGATTGGCAAGAAAATAATCCTTCGTTCCTCCGATTGTACTCAGCGTGACCAGCGGCCTTTTTTCGGCCGCCGGTTGGCATGGCAGGAGCATGACAGCATTTGCCGGCGTCCACCTGAAGCGACGCCAGTGGCATAACCGAGACCCCTAAGTTCTCCCCACGAAACTTGACTTCTTTTCTTCCCACACCTCTTCCTTTTTATTCCTCCTCACTCTTCTATTTCTTTTTCTCTTTTTCTTCCTCAGACTTTGTATTTTTTTCTTTCTTTCTTAGATTCAACTCTTTTTGTTGGTTGTGGTTTCTTGGTCTCTTATTGGCAACTGGTTGCTCTCTTGTGGCGACAATGTTTCTCTTTCTTTTTATTATTCTTTTTCTACATCGATAAAAAGAAATAGGAGAGAAAGAAGAAAATGTTAGTAGTCCTATTGAATAAAACTGTGTCAGAGTGAGAGACAGAGAGAATGAGAATGAGAATGAAAATGAGAATGAGAATGAGAATGTAGCAACCCCCAGTTGAGAAACAAATCACTTTGTAACTTTGTTATGCAAAACAACGTTTGTCTTTCTTTCGTTTTTCTTCTCATCCTCTTTATCCACCCTTTCTTTCCATTTATTTTTATCTTATCTCTTTCTCTCTATCTCTCTCATTTGCTTTTTCTATGATTTGGTGATGCTGTTGCCACTATACTGTACCGTTGCTGATGCCAACGCTGTTGATGTTTCTTATTCTAACCCTTCTCTTTTCTTCCCTTCCCTTCTTCCTTATTTTTGTTTTTCTTCATGGAACTCTTAAGGCATCTTTTCCACCCTTTGATAGTATCGGATAAGCAGGAACATGTTAACCCCTCTTGTGATCGTTATTTCTTTTGGAAGCTGTAAAAGAAAAGGTATTCGTTAGTCTTCGTAATCATCGATCGATTCTTTTCGAAAGTACGAAATAATGAAGTCTGATCACTACTTGTCTCACTAACTTCTCTTTATTTCTCATTCTTTTTTCTTTTTGTGTGTTGCCTTTTATAGATTTCGAACTTTTAACGATGCATTCTTTTTCATTAATTATTCTTTTAGAGAAAAATAAAAAGTTTGTTATTATTCTTTACTCTACCGTTATTTTTATCTTCTTTTTTTTTTACGGCTAATTTTATTATATTATAGATTAAACAAAAAAGTGAGAGATGACTTTTCAACGTCCGTTATCGATCCCTATTATCTTTATCTACTTTTATTTATCTAAATATCTTTATATATACATGTATGTATGTATCTCACTATTTACTAATTTAATCGAATTCTTAATTATATCGTTCACACCGATTCCCTAGACGGCTTTAACTTTTGCTTATCCGATGTATGTAGGTATATTCTGCTTATCCTTTTCCCTTTTTTTCCCTTTCCACTATCTTCATCCTCATTCTACCCTTCTAACCCTCCAGAGAGTGTGGTTGGAATACCAACGGAAACGGAATAAAGCCACGATCCGATACGCGCGACGCTCAAATTCCTATTCCAGCACTTCATCGTATGGATTGACGTTCCACTCGTAGAAATCGTGACGAGAAATAAAATCGATTCGTAAAGATCGGTTCCTTTCGCTCATGTTTTCAAAGAAGGATATAACAAATGATGACAAAGAGGAAATATGAATTAGAGGAAAAAGAAAGAGAACAATTTCGTTATCGATAATTTGTTTGAATTATATAAAATAAAAATGTCTAATTATAAATTTAAAATGTATACCAAAAAAATGTTAATTCTTATAATTATTATTATTATTAAAATAACAAAAAGAAATTTATCTTAATCACTAATCTAAATATTTATTATATATTAAAATACAGTAAATAAAAATTTCAAATCATTAAAAGAAAAATAATAATTAATATTATTAAATATTAAATATAATTAAAACTAGATAACGTTTCGAAGTCAATCAGAAAACGAGAGAGAGTTCGAGATTTACGTATTGTTTTTCATTTTCTTTTATTTAACTTCGTTGACATCCGGTTATGACATGGAATTAATTAGATGCTCTAGTTTTTCTTTTTTTTTTCTTTTCTTCTCTTCTTGTTATTTTTTTTTCTTTCTTTCTTTTTTTATTTTCTCTGTTTAATAGGAAACTCCTTCGTTGGCGACACGAATTATGGTTTCGGTCGTTACACGTCGTGCGCAGAATGCCATCGTAAATAATAGTTTAATTAAAATCGTAACACTCTGACAGCATTAGGACGCTTTTGCTTATGAAAAGACCAAACGTTATTGTAACCTTCCTTACTTATTTTCCCATTCATGGTAGTCATACATACATATATTCATATATCATTTTCATACATTGATTCAATAATTTCTTACACACTTATGTATAGTATTTCATGAATGAGTATATTTATTTCAAATTAATATTACATGAATTATTTCAATGTAATATTAAATTTAATTGATTACATTTGTGTCGAAATTTTATTTCTTTTAAATTTAAATCTTCTTTACCGACCGCGATATAAAGTCTTTTATAATACATAATGATTGATGATTAAGAAGAAAAAAATAAAAGATCAAAAGTTATTCAAGTTATATCACTAATTATGTAGTTAAAGATATTAATGAAGTAGCATAGTTTAAATTTTCAAAGTTTGAAATATCGCGGAAGTTTGACGATCGATATCTCGAGATAACTCGAGCATGCGCAGAAGTGATATCGAATTTCAGCGTCATAACATCGAGTATATCCACGGTGGCAGTTCAGTGTGTATCGCCGAAAGTAAGAATGGGAGTGTTTTTCTAAAGCTTCTCTTTTTTAATTCAATTAGAGATTTAATACAGTTTTAATGTCTTTTTTCTTTATTTATTTTTATTTACAATTAAACGTTGACGATAAAGTTTCCAAGTATCAAGAAATTGAACTGTGAATGTGAGTAATAATACAATTAATATATATTTATTATATTTTATTAAAAGTCAACTTTTTCTATGTTGAACATAATTTATAAACGCACTTCATGCATTATTAAAAAAAAAGTAATTTTATACAAATATGTTTAGTATTCATCTTATTTATTCAAGAATGCATTTTACCTGTACTGCACATAACCTATAAATATCCTTTATGTTATTAATAAGAAAATAATAATAGACAATTTTTCTCTTTTTTGTTAATATTGATTTTACTTGATGAAGAATATACTTTATTTATGCTGCACATAATTAATATTAATTTAATAGATTAATAATAATGTATATTATATTATACATAATACACTTAATATGTACTGTGAAATGAATATTTGAGGGAATACCTTTGATTTGAATTTAATCACTTTAAGATGTCTACGTCAGCTATATACATATTGGATGTCAAGGGGAAGGTGTTGATATCTCGCAATTACCGTGGAGACATAGAACCTGGAGTAATCGAGAAGTTTATGTCTTTGGTAATGGAGAGAGAAGAGGAAGGCAATCTAACACCAATAATACAGATACCGGAATGTACATACGCTTACATTAAATATAATAATCTTTATATTGTATCGATGACTAGAAAGAATGCTAATATTTCTTTGGTATTTGTGTTTTTGCATAAAATGGTACAAGTTATGCAAGAATATTTTAAAGAATTGGAAGAAGAAAGTATACGGGATAATTTTGTAGTCATTTATGAACTTCTCGATGAGCTATTAGATTTTGGTTATCCACAGACAACGGATAGCAAAATATTGCAAGAGTATATTACACAGGAGGGACATAAATTAGAAATACAACCAAGAATTCCTATGGCTGTGACCAATGCTGTGTCATGGAGATCGGAAGGTATTAAGTATCGCAAGAACGAAGTCTTTTTAGATGTAATTGAATCCGTTAATCTTCTGGCTAATGCTAATGGAAACGTATTAAGTTCTGAAATAGTTGGTGCCATAAAGATGAGAGTGTACTTATCTGGAATGCCAGAATTGAGATTGGGTTTGAACGATAAAGTATTATTTGAATCGACTGGACGTGGTAAGTCCAAGTCAGTAGAGTTAGAAGATGTTAAGTTTCATCAGTGTGTTAGGCTATCGAGGTTTGAAAATGACAGAACCATTTCCTTCATACCGCCAGATGGAGAATTCGAATTGATGTCTTATAGATTGAACACTCATGTTAAACCTTTAATTTGGATTGAATCTGTAATAGAAAGACATGCGCATAGTAGAGTAGAATATATGATTAAGGCTAGATCGCAATTTAAACGTAGGTCTACTGCGAACAATGTTGAAATAGTAATACCTGTTCCGAACGACGCAGATTCTCCTAAATTTAAAACAACTATTGGCAGTGTTAAGTACTCACCAGAACAAAGTGCGATTACTTGGTTCATTAAATCCTTCCCAGGTGGGAAAGAATATTTAATGAGAGCACATTTTGGTCTGCCATCTGTGGTTGGTGAGGACGTAGAAGGTAAACCACCAATTCAAGTAAAATTTGAAATTCCCTACTTCACTACCTCCGGTATTCAAGTGAGATATTTGAAAATCATTGAGAAGAGTGGTTATCAAGCCTTACCCTGGGTTCGTTACATTACGCAGAATGGTGATTATCAGTTGAGAACGAATTAATTATACATGATAATTAACAGAATATATTAGCTCGAAACATTTTATGAATCCACGAGCGCGTTGGAAGCTTGTAAAAAAAATAAACTGTTCATTTCAAACGATTGTATTTATAGTGTGTAAGAAAATCGATCATTTTTAAATGTTCGAATATATAAATATTTTCATGAATAAAATATCTCGTATATGAATATGTATATCACTTATAAATAATATCTCGTTTAATTGCATTGTTCAATTTTCTCGTTAGATAAACATTTCTTTTTCTTTTTCTTAATACCTTCTTTAAATTTTACAAAATTACTTGGTAATTTACACCCCCTTCCTTTGTTTTATATTTAGATAGAAAAAAAAAAGTATTAATTTTTATATAACAGCTAACGATAAATCTGTAAATATGTTTACTTTTTATAGAATAAATAATGTTATCTTACAAGTAATTTCGTATGTCTTTTACTATTAATTAAGATTTAAACAATTTCTATAACAATGTTAATAAATAAAATATAGAAGTAAAGATATTATTGTATTAAAATCAATGAAAGAATCTAACGTGACGAAAAGGTAAAGAATGAAAAGAATATTAAATTTCTCTTTTGAAAACATGACTCGTAAGATTTTTTAATTTTTTTTTATCTTTTTCCTTTTCTTTTCTTTTCTTTTCTTCTTCTTCTTTCTCTTCTTCTCACACTAACGAACACATTTTTCATCCCCCACTTTTTCTCATAAGCTGGTAAGGATCCTTTTCTCTTTAAAAAGAATTTTTTTCATTCCCTTGCCTTTTTCTTTTACTTGATTTTTCGTATGTTTTTTTCTGTTTTTTTTTTTTT